AAGGAATTAAGACGCTATGTGCCCTTTTCACTGACTACAGTATGTGCCAAACATGTCATTAAAATTACAATAATCAACAATAAAATTATATTTTTTAAACTTAATAAATAGTCATTAACTAATTCTTATTGACGAATCCTGATTCAAAACAAAATACAATTCCTCAGTTCAATGTGAGGAAGTCACTTTAAATGCAGATATTGATGAATAAATAAAACATACTGTCTCATAAAATTAAGGTCAACCAATAATAAAGAGTAACTTAATGTAACTCAACAACAGCAATTGTAAATGTGCATAATCATGATTCCCTATTCAAAATGGCTGTATTTTCAATGGCACAATGCATCCAAGTTCAGTCTAGCATTTAGGATATGTGGACTGCACTGCACTAAAAGGGAGGTAAACTTCAAATAAAATGAGCACTAACAAGCCAAGGAATGAACCCCTTCACCCATACCCAGTTACCCATACCCTTCACCCATACCCAGTTACCCATACCCTTCACCCATACCCAGTTCATCCCCACCTGACCACAGAGAGACAGGGAGAGAGAGACAGTCAGACAGACAAAGCCAGGGAGAAGGGAGAAAGACAAACAAACATGGAATAAATAATGAGAGGGAGAATATCCTCTCTAATACACAGTAACTCAAGTAGTTCCATAGGACTTTGTGACAGGTCTGGGAGTGCTTTGTGCATTAGTTGTGCATTACTAGCATGTATGCATGCTACGCGGTGAGTGTGTATGTGTGTGTGTGTGTGTGTATGTGTGTGTGCGGTGTGTGTTTGTTCTAAAGTGTATATGCTATGTGCTGCATAGGTTGCAATAGAATGACATCTGAAAGATACTTCAGAAAGAGACTTCCTGCTCAGTGCATATGATATCGTTTAGCCAAATGGTCCGTCTGCTCTAGAAAAATGAATGCATCATTGACGGATCAACTTTGATAAAAGCCATAGGTTGAAATGGTAATTGACACATGAGGATAAGTCAATATCAAATCAACTATTGTTCAAGTGTAACTTCACTTGCAAATCATGATTTTTTTAGTAGACATTTCTGTGTGTATTTCTGATATCAAATCCTTAATCTCCTTTGTGTGTAATCTTCACAGATCCTCTGCCGTGTGTGTTTGTGTGGGAATTTGCAATCCATAATGACCAGTGAGCCAATATCCAATCCTTGTGTGTGTTCCCTAACATTGATAGCCACGCATGTATAATGGTAAGGTGGACACAGATACAGTATGAATATTCTTGCTAGGTGTGCATGTGTCAAAGCCTGCACCAATCCCTATTATGTAAAACACTTTATCTGGCCTTCCATGTACGTCTTCATGAACACAGCCCGAGGTCCTAAACCCTGTTACCCGCTGGTCCTCCTCCAGGCAGGGGGGGCTCAGTCTGAGGGACAGTGGTGGCTGTTGATCCAGAGCAGGTCGTCCAGCACACCCCAGTGCAGGTAGAGGATGGAGCCCACCACCAGCACATGCATGATCTGGTGGCTGTTGCACCAGTAGTCAAATAGGCCCGGGCGGAAGCGCTCTGGGATGCGCGCGATGTTGATGATCCCACCCAGTACGGCCAGCGCGTCCATGGTGAGGAAGTGTTGCAGCGAGGTGGGGCTGCCGCCGCCCACGCCCACCCAGCGCAGCAGGAAGAAGGAGAAGCGGAATAGGGCCTGCCAGGCAAAGGACCGCAGGCGCCGAACGCTACTCCGCGCCGTGATGGCCGAGTAGATGGCGTAGCTGGACAGCAGGATGTAGACGACCAGAGCCACTGTGCGGGTGAAGGGGTAGCACAGCAGGGTGCTGTAGACGATGGGCAGCGCTCCTGAGGCAAACACAACACACAAAGTCAGAGGCAGTCAGTCATTAAACTACACCACAACAGATATTCCCATCCCAGAGAATCATGCACACAGTATAGTATAGTCCCCTGTAGCTCAGTTGGTAGAGCATGGCGCTTGCAACGCCAGGGTTGTGGGTTCGTTTCCCACGGGGGGCCAGTATGAAAATGTATGCACTCAGTAACTGTAAGTCGCTCTGGATAAGAGCGTCTGCTAAATGACTAAAATGTTTTAAAAAATATTCTATAGCCATAATATACTATACTGAATGCAGTTCAACTTTAGGCTACTCATTCTCACATATAGCCTACACCCATGCTAAATAACCCAGCCATGGAGCCCTTCCCTTGTGGAATCATGGACTCTCAACTGACTATAATTCCATTATGGCTATACACCATATGCAGTATTGGGGTCATTCCACGAAATTAGTGCCTTTTGCGTCCCTTTGATATTTTAGGTAGAAATTGTGCACCAATATAGATTTGTTTTAAAAGTCTGTTATATTCAATGAAGTGCCCTTTAATATAGACCAGATGGAGAATTCAATCAATCTGATTAAAAAATACTTGCTAAAGTGCCAAAATTCAGCATGTCCCTCCGTGCACCCTCTGTGACTTCCAGGAAGATTTCAACCCACTTAACCCCAAAATATCTAAAGGTTTTCACGATAATTGTAAAGCCCTAGTTATTTTGTTGCTTTGACAAAGTCATTTCTGAAGATTATTATTTATTTAACGTGATTAGTGATTCATTTCAAGGAAGAAAAAAAACCTATCCCTCATTTTAAGGTCAACCCTGTTACGTGAAATGAACTCTCGTTTTAAGATGGTGAAACTACTCCTTTTTAAATATTTTTTTCAAAAGAAACATCGAACATCTAATAATCAAATTATCGTCGAAAAGCAGGTGAGCTGGTTCTACTCTTTTTGGCCATTTTCTGGTGTTTTGTGGTGTAAAACTGAGTGGGTCGAGCATAACACGTCAACCCTGTGACCCATATAGACAGGCTAGAAATGTTTTAACAATTAAAATGTTTTTGTTAAACATTCATTCAATTACCCCTCCCTGTTGCACACAACAAGCTTCCATTTCCCCTGTCACAAAGGGATTTATGGCTGATTTAAGATTACATTGTCACCTCTGTTACAGTCAACCCTGTTACTGCTGGTGAAGAAGTTGAAGTTCAAGGTTGGTTTATTTTACAGAAACAAAGCATGTCTGACTTTTGATAATAGGAAGGAAATTGTCCAGGCCACTTATGTCTATTTTAGATTATGGGGATATTATCTATATGCATGGAACAGCATCTACACTTAAACCACTAGATGCTGTTTTCCATTGTGCCCTTACTGGTGATGTTATAAAACTCACCATTGTGTTTTGTATCAAAAAGTGGGTTGGGCCTCTTTGTAGTAAGGAGACAGCAGCATTCTCTTGTGTTTATTTACAAAGCACTCATGCAGAAACTTCCTATGTATCTACTATCATTATTCATTCAATTTAAACTTACAAAAATCCGGTCACAGGCTTGGATAACACTGGAGGCCCCTTCAGTCTCCACAGAGTTGGGTAAAGCTGCTTTGAGTTTTTTTGCGCCCTTTATGTGGAACAACTCACAGAGAGCTCTGAAATGAGATGTGATCAGAGACCTCCATGTTGATAAATGTGTCTGTTTTTCTTAATATGCTTTGTAATTTTGTATATCTACAGTACCAGTCAAAAGTTTGGACACACCTACTCATTCAAGGTTTTTCTTTATTTTTACTATTTTAAACATTGCAGAATAATAGTGAAGACATCAAAACTATGAAATAACACATATGGAATCATGTAGTAACCCGAAAAAGTGTTAAAAACTTTTGACTGGTACTATATATGAACGGTGTATTTATGCAGGGCTCATCTGAAAACAAGACCCTAGTCTCAGTATGACTTCCCTGTCAAAATAAAGGTTTAATAATAATAATTATAATAATAATTATAATAATACTTTATTTGGCACTTAATAGGCACTTACTATAGTAATTTTTTTATGAGATGGGAAAATGTTATTTTAAAAAAATTAAGTTATACATGTGCTCTTCATGACAAAGTGTGAAATCAAACTTTTTTTCCCCACCAAGTTACACATCTCAAAAGGCACCGAATTGTTGGAATGACCAATTGGTTATTGGATACTCAAGATGATTTGCATAAATGTAAATGAAAATGGATTGCACAAAAAGAGTGTGCCAGACAGTGTAAACAGAAAACAAAAGGCTGGAAGAGAAAGGAGAAAAGGAGATAAAACAATGTAGAGAGAGAGAATGAAAGAATCAATGAGAACAGAGAGCTTTTAGTTGCTACCCAGAAGCCCCTATGCTTACCCAGCGTGTTGATCATGCAGATGCCGCACATGTCGAGGGTGAGGAGGGTGTGGTAGACGGGCTCTCCTCCCTCGTGGTTCATGAAGAGGTGGTAGAGTACAGAGCCCAGCTGGGGGGACAGGCAGGCCAGGAAGTGGACCACACCCAGCCATGTCACACTGATCTGGGACCAGGGGAAGTTGAGCGGGATGAGGAACAGGAAGCAGAGTAGAGGGATACCTGTTGAGAGGGGGTGAAGGGGAAAACAGGGTTCAGTCAAATAGGCCGAAATCTTGCTGAAAACTAGCACCAGCTTTACCAATACAAAAAGTGTGCAGTTTGAACTACTGTACTGGAAAGTTTATTTTCACCTGTTATTATATTCCAATGAAATGACAAAAAAGGTCAGATGTGTTATGAATTTCCAATCACATTAGCAATACGACATAGCGCTACTGCATAGACACCATTTTTTTCACCTTCCACAAGCTCTTGTTTTGCTTCAGCAACAATTACTGCTGCACTACAGGGCAATTCCACAGTAACTGAATTACGCAGAGACTGTATGGCAAGCAAAAAACAACTATGTACAATGACTACTTTGAACAATTTACACACCAGGGTTTCTCCCCAGGACTTTTTAACAAGGTGGTGCTGCAGAGTACATACAGCCGAGGGGGGGGGGGGGGGCTCAGAGATTTTTGAACACCTGTAACTGCCTTTCCCTGCAATCTAGAGCAAACAACGGTCTTATATGATAACAAATCAAGTTTAAAAATATATATATATATATATGGTTCGCTCCTACAGACAGTGAGTCACGTGGCCTGCTATATAAAGCAGGCAGACAGGCATCCAGTTACTGTTCGATTGAACGCTAGGATGACCTATGCGACTTTGAGCGTGGTACGATTGTCCAGTATCTCAGAAACGGCTGGCCTCCTGGGATTTTCATGCATGATAGAGTCTAAGGTTTACTGAGAATGGTGCGACAAACAAAAAGCATTCAGTCAGCATAGCCCTGTGGGCGAAAACTGCTTGTTGATGAGAGAGGTCAAAGGAGAATGGCAAGAATCGTGCAAGCCAACAGGCAGGCCACAAACAGGCAAATAATGGCGCAGTAGAGCGGCATCTCGGAACACACAACTCGTCGGTCCTTGTCACGGATGGGCTATTGCAGCAGACGACCCTTCCGGGTTCCACTCCTATCAGCTAAAAACAAGAAGAAGAGGTTCCAATGGGAACACGATCCCCAGCACTGGACAACTGAGGAGTGGAAAAACATCGCCTGGTCCGACGAATCACGGTTCCTGTTATGTCATGCTGATGGCAGAGTCGGGATTTGGCCTAAGCAGCATGGCTCCTAGGCTTCATCCTGCCTGGTGTCAACGGTACAGGCTGGTGGCGGTGGTGTAATGGTGTGGATAATGTTTTCCTGGCACACGTTAGCCCTTGTTACCAATTGAGCAATGTTTGAACACCAACCACACCTTGTAGAATCCATGCCCTGAAGAATTCATTCTGTTCTGGAAGCAAAAGTGGGTCCGACCCGGTACTAGATGGGTGTACCTAATAAACTTGCCACTGTGTGTAAGTGCCATCAGAAAGTATTCATACCCCTTGACTTAAATAGATGTCTTTTCCTCACCCATCTACACACAATACCCCATAATGACAAAGTGAAAACATGTTTTTAGAAATGTTAGCAAATTTATTGAAAATGAAATACCGAAATATCTAATTTACATAGGTATTCACACCCCTTTGCTATGACACTCCAAATTGAGCTCAGGTTCATCCAATTTCCTTTGATCATCCTTGAGATGTCACTACAATTTGATTGGAGTCCACCTGTGGCCAATTAAATTGTTTGGACATGATTTAGAAAGAAACACACCTGTCAATATAAGGTCCCACAGTTGACAGTGCATGTCAGAGCTGAAACTATCCCATGATGTCCAAGGAACTGTTCGTACATCTCTGACACTGTGATGAGGCATATATCTGTGGAAGGGCATAAAACTATTTGTAGTGTTGAAAGTTTCCAAGAGCACAGTGGTCTATCCAGACTCTGCCTAGAGCTGGCCATCTGACCAAACTGAGCAACCGGGCAAGAAGGACCTTGGTCAGGGAGGTGACCAAGAACCCAATGACCACTCTGACAGAACTACAGAGTTCCTTGGATGAGATGGGACAACCTGCCAGAAGGACAACAGTCTCTACAGCACTTTAAGGGAAAGTGGCCAGACGGAAGCCACATCTGAGAAAAGGCACATGACAGCATGCCTGGAGTTTGCAAAAATGCATGTGAAAGACTGATAGCATAAGGCAACAGATTATGTGGTTTACTATTTGGCCTGAATGCAAAACACTATGTCTGAAGAAAACCAGGCACAGCACATCAACCGTCTAACACCATCCCTACTGTGCAGAATGGTGGTGGCAGCATCATGCTATGGGAATGCTTTTCAGCGGCAGGGATTGGGAGACTGATAAGGATAGAGGGAACAATGAATGGAGCCAAATACAGGCAAATCCTTGATGAGAACCTGCTTCAGAGTGCAAACAACCTTAGACTGGGGCGAAGATTTACGTTCCAACAGGACAATGACCCCAAGCATACAGCCAAAGCAACGCTGGAATGCTTGAATCCCATTGAAAATCTGTGGAAAGACTTGAAGATTGCTGTTCACCGCCACTCCCCATCTAATTTAACAGAACTTGAGAAAATCTGCAAGGAAGAATGGGAGAAAATCCCCAAATTCAGATGTGCATAGCTGATACAGACATACCCAAGACGACTCAAAGCTGTAATCGCCGCCAAAGGTGTGAATACTTATTTAAATTAGATATTTATGTATTTCATTTTCAATAAATTTGCAAAAATGGCTAAAACATGTTTTCACTTTGTCATTATCGGGTATTGTGTGTAGATCGGTGAAAAATAATAATATCTTTAATCCATTTTGAATTCAGGCTGTAACAACAAATGTGGAACAAGTCAAGGGGTATGAATACTTTCTGAAGGCACAGTTTTTTTCCTTTCTCTCTTACATTCTTTGGGAGAACCCTGCACAGTAAATACAAATAAAACAACATTTACTGGAAAAACTGTGCAGATGCAAAGATGCACAGTTCTTTCCTGTGAAAAATCGCAGTGTAAATCCGTTACCATGGAATTGCCCTTTAACTACAGAGATGTGTTGTAGGTTGCTTCACTTAGGCTATTGGGAGGTGCTTGGTGAGCAAAAACAGGTCCTTGAAATTTGATACACACATATCACTTTTTTTTTTTTTTTTTTTTTTTTTTAGTCATTTAGCAGACGCTCTTATCCAGAGCGACTTACAGGAGCAATTAGGGTTAAGTGCCTTGCTCAAGGGCACATCGACAGATTTTTCACCTAGTCAGCTCGGGGATTAGAACCAGCGACCTTTCGGTTACTGGCACAACGCTCTTAACCACTAAGCTACCTGCCGCCATCACTCTCCTCCACATCCCACCTTCTTCCCCGTCTTTCGTTCACTCTGCCTTTCCCAATGTCAAATCATTTGTCCTGGCCAGGTGATACAGCCAATGCCATCTAACACCAGAGGAGGCTGGTGGGAGTAGTTATAGGAGGACAGGCTCTTTGTAATGGCTGGAATGGAATAAATGGAATGGAGTCAAACATGTGATTTCCATGTTTGATGTGTTTGACACCGTTCCATTTATTCCATTCCAGCCATTACAATGAGCCCATCCTCCTTTAGCTCCTCCCACCAGCCTCCTGTCTAACACGTCTATTTTGAGTGTAATATCTCTTCTGCACCCCTCCCTCCCAACCACACTCAGCACTACTGAACAGTACAACTGGACAGGCTCTCTAAGGCTGCATTTACACAGGCAACCCAAGTCTGTTTTTTCCCCCAATAATTGCTCTTTTGACCAATCACATCAGATCCTTTTCAGAGCTGATCTGATTGGTCAAAAGACCAATTAGTGAAAAAAAGATAAGAATTGGGCTGCCTGTGTAAATGCAGCCTAAGAGGTCCAAAGTATGATTGCTACTCTTTAGACAGGAGGTGTGTGTTTCTATCCAAAAGTATTCCGGCTGTTGACCCTATTGTGCAAATGTAGCATGTAGACTCCATTTGTGTGATCCTATATGGTTTTCAGGTGCAATATATTACCAAAAATAGGACCTGTGTGACTTCATCACCTTGAAATACAGTGGGGAAAAAAAGTATTTAGTCAGCCACCAATTGTGCAAGTTCTCCCACTTAAAAAGATGAGAGAGGCCTGTAATTTTCATCATAGGTACACATCAACTATGACAAAAAAAATCCAGAAAATCACATTGTAGGATTTTTTATGAATTTATTTGCAAATTATGGTGGAAAATAAGTATTCGGTCAATAACAAAAGTTTCTCAATACTTTGTTATATACCCTTTGTTGGCAATGACACAGGTCAAACGTTTTCTGTAAGTCTTCACAAGGTTTTCACACACTGTTGCTGGTATTTTGGCCCGTTCATCCATGCAGATCTCCTCAAGAGCAGTAATGTTTTGGGGCTGTCGCTGGGCAACACAGACTTTCAACTCCCTCCAAAGATTTTCTATAGGGTTGAGATCTGGAGACTGGCTAGGCCACTCCAGGACCTTGAAATGCTTCTCACGAAGCCACACCTTCATTGCCTGGGCGGTGTGTTTGGGATCATTGTCATGCTGAAAGACCCAGCCACGTTTCATCTTCAATGCCCTTGCTGATGGAAGGAGGTTTTCACTCAAAATCTCACGATACATGGCCCCATTCATTATTTCCTTTACATGGATCAGTCGTCCTGGTCCCTTTGCAGAAAAACAGCCCCAAAGCATGATGTTTCCACCCCCATGCTTCACAGTAGGTATGGTGTTCTTTGGATGCAACTCAGCATTCTTTGTCCTCCAAACACGACGAGTTGAGTTTTTACCAAAAAGTTCTATTTTGGTTTCATCTGACCATATGACATTCTCCCAATCCTCTTCTGGATCATCCAAATGCACTCTAGCAAACTTCAGACGGGCCTGGACATGTACTGGCTTAAGCAGGGGGGCACGTCTGGCACTGCAGGATTTGCGTCCCTGGCGGCGTAGTGTGTAACTGATGGTAGGCTTTGTTACTTTGGTCCCAGCTCTCTGCAGGTCATTCACTAGGTCCCCCCGTGTGGTTCTGGGATTTTTGCTCACCGTTCTTGTGATCATTTTGACCCCACGGGGT